ATATACTATATATATAATAAATGCTATATCTAACAGCATTAATTCTCCTCTTTTCCCCCACCCACCTTTGTCTCGAGGGTACCTTTCAGAAGGAGCCAAGCCCCAACAGCTAGTAGTAATCCACCAAGAACGAATGGTGGGCAAGGCGGGATAAATTGCGTAGACAAAGGCATGTTCTGTTGCGCAAACAGTGGGTGCTCCTTTGGGTCTTCGTTGGGGGAGTGGTTGCTTTGCGAAATGGTGCTGGTCCTGTTGCCTGATTGCTCCATAGCGTTTCTCACGAGTCGTTCTATCACTTCTTCCGGAACTGAAAATGCCCCATTTTTATTCTCGACTGCTGTCGAAACCACCCGGCATGGCGGGAGACATAGTTCATCAGCGTCTGAGGAACCTCCCGGGGCGAATGAACTATGCCTCCCATCAGACCCAACCGCCAGGCACACAGGCTAGGACAGACGGGAAGCATAGTCCAGCGCTGTACAGTCAGCTGTGTGTCCCCTGTGCCATACACACCCTGAAATTTCAGAGCATTGTCTCTCCCTAACCTGAGCTAATCTCTTACATTTCACACACACACACACACCTTCAAATTACAAAATATTCACTGGTCCGAAGAAAAGTGCTTTGTGCTGATCTTTGAATCCCCTACCTTAACGACGTGCTAACTGATGGTTAGCGCTTGTCAAGTACCCTGAACTACACTGCGTATTTTTATAGCGGACTTCTAAATTTCTTCAGAAGCAACATGATTAAGGAAATGGGCCTTTGTGATCTCTCCTAGGCCATGGGGTGAGCAGTGGTGGCCCTCCAGGTTTTTCAGGCCACAAAGCTGTCGGCCAGAAATATCTGGAGAGCTTTAGCTGCCCATCTTAATTTAGTCAAAGACCCCTTAAAAAAAGAGGGGCTTCCTAAATAATTGTGCAAACTTCCAAAACAGAACTGGACAAGGAAAAGACAAAGGAGAATGTGTGTGTATGTGTGTACACCCGCCACACAATAGGACCCCCTTATCCACAGGGTCAGTATTCACGGACTTACTTATCCATGGTCTGAAAATATTAAAAGAAAAATCCCCCAAATATATATTTCTAATGATGAAGTCAACTGAAAATATTAAAAGAAAAATCCCCCAAACATATATTTCTAATGATGAAGTCAACAGAACTGACCACTAGAGGGAGCCAGAGACCATGCTATGTATTGTGTTCAATATAGTTCCACAATGTCATTACCAGAAGTGGCCACTGGAGGGAGCAAAAGGCCATGCTATATGTATATTATTTTACTGTTTGCTATAATCCGCATTTTTCAGCATCCACAGAAAGGGGGGGCTTAGAACTGATCCCCCACACTTATGGGGGTCCTACTGTATATATCTAAGAAAACCACTGAGCTCTCCTTAGTATCCTTGCACATCCACCAAATTCTGTCCTGAAACAGAACGAACCAGTCTTTCAAAACAAGACCACTAAGTAGAACCACTGCAAAGTTATACCATGTGGCATCAACCACGTCCACCTTTGAAGGCATTCTCTCTTATAAAAATCTCTCTCTCTCTCTCCAAGAGAGTTGGGATCCCAAGATTGGGGTGAATCATTGCATAATATCTAGAATTTGTGGCTGGGTGTTTGGGTCTTGATTGTGCCATGGCACATTGGCATTTGAAAAATAATCGGGTGGGAAAGAGAGTGGCTTTGATGGCCTGAAATAAATATATAAAAAGAGGGACCCTCTGGGAAACCAGCTTCAAGTCTGAATTCCAATTCAAGTTTGAATTCTTGCTCCTCTCCGTCCCCTCCTACAGATTGGATTGTTGCCAGATAATAACCAGAAAAGGGCAGAGAGAAACCGGGGTGGTGGTGGAGGAATTCTGGTCATTTTCAAGGAAACCTGCTGAAACCCCAGAAGGGAGGGGAAACGTCTGAAAAAACACTGGAGTGTTTGGTGGAGGTTGGGTTTTTTTTTATGCATGAAAATGACATTTGGGATTTTCTTCATGTGAAGTTGAATCATTTTTCAGAGGTGGTGTGTTTGACATTTTTTTGGCTTTCTCTTTGGGTGGTTGCTTAGCTTATAAATTCATTAGACCTCAGACCATCCCGGACCTTGTACCCTCCCGGACAGATGGCGGTCCCATCTTTTCTTGAGAAACCTCCAGCGATGGGGCACCCACCACACCAAGAGGCGAGCTGTTCCACTGCTTCACGATTCTCACCATCAAGAAATCCCTCCTGATTTCCAGGTTGGCTCTCCTTCGGACACGTTTCCACCTGTGGGTTCTTGTCCTACCCTCCGGTGCAATGGAGAACAAATCGATGCCCTTTTCCCCAGGGCAACCCTTCAGATATTGGAAGACAGCTGTCATATCTCCATTCAGTCCTCTCGTTGTTAGAAGATGCCCCCCTCCTTTGTAGAAACGGAGACCAGATAGATCTATTTAAAACAGTCGTGGTGCCATTCACAAGCAGTAAGTAGGAGAGAGTTTAGCTTATAATTGGCTGCTTTCAAGTTTGGGCCAAAAACTGGAAACAGGCCCTGGCATTACCGGTCTCCTCTGGGTGTTGGTGGTACCATTATCTTATGTCTCACTCCCCCCCTCCCGCCACCAACCACCTACGCCAATTTGGAAGCACTAGGATCTATGGTTTCCCACAGATGATAACGAAGGCAACTCTCGTTCAGGAACTGATCTTCCGGGCAACCCTTCAGATATTGGAAGACAGCTGTCATATCTCCATTCAGTCCTCTCGTTGTTAGAAGATGCCCCCCTCCTTTGTAGAAACGGAGACCAGATAGATCTATTTAAAACAGTCGTGGTGCCATTCACAAGCAGTAAGTAGGAGAGAGTTTAGCTTATAATTGGCTGCTTTCAAGTTTGGGCCAAAAACTGGAAACAGGCCCTGGCATTACCGGTCTCCTCTGGGTGTTGGTGGTACCATTATCTTATGTCTCACTCCCCCCCTCCCGCCACCAACCACCTACGCCAATCTGGAAGCACTAGGATCTATGGTTTCCCGCAGATGATAACGAAGGCGACTCTCGTTCAGGAACTGATCTTCTTCGAGCGAAGCGGTTTGCCGGCCTGGGGCCCTCCGGCGACCTCATTTTCGGAAAGGGCTTTCCAGAATTCGAGTTGCTCACACGAAGCAGAGCTCCATGATCCGTGCTCGGCTACGCCAGCGCCGGCCAAATCTTGGAACCGGTGAAATCTAAACCGGGCTCTCCCAGACAGACCACCTCTCCATGCCCTGGCTTCGTCCGTTAAAGGGAACAAGAGCCGGAAGAAAAGAAAACCCTAAACTTTGCTAAACCTGAGGTGTGAGGACAAAACTTAAAACTGTGCTCAACCTGAGCTGCTTGGTCAAAGCAGAACTCCAGTCCACTCCTGGGTTCACTCTTCTCTCACACCAAGTCTGCCAGGTTCCTGGACGAACCTTTCTGTATCTGTGAGGGTGGAACCTAGGTTGACAGCGTGCCGTGCAACCGCTAAGTCCCAAGCAGGATTGTGCCCTGTGTCCTCAGCAGCTCCTCGCTTGCTGGCTGGAATCCATGGGTGACCTTCCATAGCCTCAAGGTTCACTCATCAGCACCGGCAGAAATAAGAGACAGGGACCCACCCTCCACCGAGCCCAGCCATAAGGTTATCTCACCGGTTCTGTCCTGCGAGAATTCGTTTTTCCTTTTTTTCTTCTTTTTCCCCGTAATCTCCAGCTGTGTGATACACTAGCTGGAGACACCGGGTGCCGGATCTGGGCCCTTCCACATGTAAAGCGTGTGCTCGGGGGCCAAGCTGCCTCACTCCCCCTCTCTTTCCACCCCAAATTTAGTCTGGCCCAAGAGGGGACGTTGACCTGAATCCTGTCCGATCCACTTCGTTGTTCTTGTCCAGGAGACCCGCACAGGGTCAGCCGTTCTGCAGAGGGACAACGGTCCTCGTTGCAGGAGGAGACGAGCCACCACATCCCTGGCCCCGAGAGTGTTTTTCCCCCCATTTCTCTGATGGAAATAATTGTTCCAAAGTCTGCCGCCCCGACCGCAAACGATCCGACGTGGTGGCGGCCTCCCTGCTCCATCACCTCTCCTTGTTACTCTCTTTGATCATGGCTTTCAGCGCCGGAGGCAGCCGAGGGACTTTCGGGGGCGGCCCGAGAGCGACCATAAGCTCGCTCTTCCGCACGAGAGCGGCCCGTAGCTGCTCCCGCATCTCCTCAATTTTGCCTTCCAGTTCCTTCAGCTCTTTCTCTTTGGCTTCTTTATCCTCCTGTTGCGGATCCTGGCCGTTCATGCAGTGCCAGACGGGGGCTTCCGACTCATCCTCTGGCGTCTCGTCCGGGAGATTCTCAATATCGAAGTGAACCCTCTTGTCCTCTTTCCGAACTGCTGCTCGGCGCAAGTTGTTCCAACCGGGTTGATCCTCAGGTGGTTCGGGGGGTTCTTGACTCTTCTGGATGTTACACCTTTGAGGAGTTGGACAGAGAAGAGGATAAAGAGGAAACCATCAGCTCACAGATTTTTCTCCGCTTAAAATGCAGCTGCTATCCTTTGGTCCTTCTCTGCTTTCCTTAAGAAAGTATTTCATAATATTTTTTCTCATCAGAACAAGACTGTCTTAAATAGGCAACAATTATATTGAGTCATTAACATATTGTAAGAAGGAAAGTTTAGTGATCCTGTGGAACTCAAAAGCCTGATGCTTTAGTGGCACAATGAAAGTTATTTTCACCCATGGTTTGTTCTGGGTAACAGGTTTTGGACAACAGTAAACCAGGATTCAACAAACCAGGATTCAACAAACCATAGCCTTTCTTACAGCAACCTGACAGTGTTGCTTATTTGAAAGTTATTTTGCTAACGAGAATAGAAAACGGATGCCCAAACTCCTGGGGTATTTTTACCACAGGTGTTAACACAATGAGGGAATTATCTTAGTTGTCTGAAGGGCATCCCCGGTGTATCTGAGAAGCATGAAGTGAGCATCTTTTCCTTGAAAACTGTGGCATTTGGTTTTAAAATGTTTAAGAATTAGAAAACCGCTTACATGGTCAAGAATGGGTGAGGTGAGGAGGATTTACCTTTTCTCCAAATTTAACTTTTTGAGCCTCTGTTCTTCTAAGCCCATGTTCAAAGCCCGGTGGATTTTCTGGTATGTATGAAAGCAAAGACACAAAATAACAATGAGAGCATCATTTGGGAAGACACGGTTTAGCAAAAAGAGTGTTCCTGAGCATTCCAGCCATTTGATTCCCTTTTTTTAAATCCTTGGTAAGAATTTGTCACGTTTTCATAAATCTTGCGGTAACCCTCTTACCATTCTGGCTCGTGGATTTCACGTTTACCCCAATTCACTCTCAAATTCAAAAGTTTGCCAAGTTACTTGGGTATAGTTACATTTTCCAAGTAATGTCTCTACAGTCCGGTCTCTAGTCCGTCGTCCTGTTCCAACCCCCCCCCCCAATAATGCCAAATCAAACGCTGATGGGAAGGCCGGATGAAAGTTATATTTTCCCCTGTTTAGAGCTACTCTATCCTCCATCCTCTGGCATTTGTAGGTATACTGCCGTTGAACATGGAGGTTCAGCTCCCCTTTAGGGAAAGATCACCTGGAAATACACCCCCTGGTAGCGCCACGTCCTGTGGACAAGAGTGATCGCCAAGATGATTTGAGAAGCGGGCTACCGCGCTCCGACCATCACACACCCGCACGTACCTGTGTGCCTTGTGCACCAGGCACACCATGCCTCTCTCACCTGGCTGGTGTGAAGCCAGTAATTGAATTTTTTCTTCCGTCGGATGCGGGGCAGAATGAGGCGATAAAAAATGTGCTCTCCAAGAGAGGTCAGCAACGAGCCGCAGAGGCCGATACAGAGGAGCACAAAAAGCCCGGAGAAGTGGTAAATGCCCATCTGCAGCGTCTGGGGAGGGGAAAGAGAGAGACACCCAGCGTGAACATGGGCCCCGGAATACTAGAACCACCCTAAGGAACATAGAATTTTTGGGTGCATGACCCACAAGCAGGCCCAGCGGAGATCCTTCCTGCGGACGGCTTTGTCCCCGTTGTTTGCGCCCGGCTCCCCAGTAGGGACAGGACTGGAACCACGATCCCGGTGGACCCGGACGGCGGAGAATGCAGGGTTCGGAAGATAACGGGGTCGAGCGAG